TGATGTAGTACTGACTGACTTGCTGTCTACTGCAGCTTGAAATGAGTGAGAGTGGTGGCCATTAGCTGGTCTACTGTAGTTCCACAGTCCAATACTTGCTCTCCATTGAGAGACATCAATCATCTTGTAAGACAATAAGAAACAATATATAGTGCTTGTAACAAAGATAAGTGTTCCTTGCCTTTGGAAAAGTATGAACAGAAGCACAGAACACACCACAAAAGTGAGTTCAAATCTCCTTATAAGGGCATTGGCAAAGAATACATTACCAGTATACTACTCTAAAAGGTAACAGGTGGCACCTTAGATATCCTCAAAAGATTCTTGTGTAAACATGATAACCTAATGGTACTCCTATATATACATGTAGATAGATTCACATGATAAGAATGAAAAGTTAATGTATAATTTTGTAAGAAAAATAAATAAACCAAAACAATTACACAAAATTAATGAAAACAGAATCACTCCTATAGTACAGCAAAGAACTCATGTCAATAGTAGACATTAGGAAGATAGAAAAAGAACCAATAATAATAATACTTATTATTATCATTCGTTTTTCTTAGAACACAAAAGTCTCATCAGCCATTTCGATAGCCCAAGCAAATTTCTCTCTCTGAGTTCTGTTGTACACTTTCTCAATAGGGACACCCCACTTCTTACACCAACTGACACTGATCCTTGGATCAAGATAGTTCAGTTTAGATGTGCCTAACGCTATCTCCTTATTCTCCTCCTATACAAGTAGAAGGACATAGTAATGTAATATACACCATGTAAATAAAGTACATGTTAACATGTACATTTGTATAAGTATGTGTGCTAAAAGCAGTTAAGTTAGTAATTATACATGTACAATGATCCTGACAAAACACTACATGTACAGTGTATAAAATATGGTGAGAATTATTCGTTATGACTTATGAGTATGTTTATAACTCAAAAACTTTTAGTCGGAATCAGCTCAAACTTCCTACAAAACATGAACAAGTAGTACAAGTACATACATGTACATGTAAGTTATGTACATAATTTTTATGATGAATACTATGTTGAAGTTGCTGTTGCACACAAATACTTGAAACTTACTCTACACCCTCAGCACTAGCTACACATGTACATGTAGAAGTAAATGTGCACATACATGTACATTTATTCTCACAATTACACAAAGTACAGTGCATTACCTTATCAGTGGCTTGTATTTCAAGTTTCTTTAGTTGTTCCTCTAGCTTTGGAAGCTGTTTCACTTTACTCTCTAGTTTCCTGAAGATTACAGAGATGCACAGAGTTAGTGGGTGGAGTTAGAACGTGTCTCTTACTTCTGCAGTTTAGAGTCTGAAGTTCCTTTCAATTCTTTCTTCATTTTCTTTATTTCTTTTTTAGCATCAAGAATGGCTTCCTCTTTAGCTGTTATCTGATATCAATAAACAGATCACGTAACATGTACATGTAGTATGAACATATGGTTACATTATTAGTAAAAATGCATACGTGAATATGTTCCAGTCAATCCAATCCATTAAGTATATTGTTAAAATAAAGTCATAAACAATACATCAAGTATCATTGTAATGTACTGTACAAGCATGCAATGTTTCTGGATTGATAATCTAAACAGGTATACAATTGGCTCAAATGCAATGTACACAACAACACTCTTTAAGGTCAATTGGCTCAAAAATTCCCAAAAACGATTATAGTGCTAATTTTGCTATTTTTGTTATAAATTGAAGCAATTTGGCACAAAATATGAGCAACTTCGAGCCAAAAGGCCCAAAACCATACAAACCCTTGACAATACTAAGTACATGTACATGTATGTGTCATGTACATGCTATATATGGTAAGTACATGTACCTTTGCCTGGAGGTTACTCATTTGTGTATCAAAAGTCTTTGGAGCTGTTCTCTGATGGTTGCAGAGTACAGCTACAGCACGATTAGCTCTGTTGTATGATAATATCTTCTCATTAACAGTGTCATCCTCTAATGGAATAACAACAAGAGAAAGTAAATAAAGAGAATTCAAAAATGAAAAAATATGCGTACACGTACATGCTTAAATCAGTACTGAAGTGAAAATTTTGTCAGCAAGATCTACTGTATGAAATTGACATACATGTACATGTACTGTACAGGTTTTCAGT